GGTCAATTCAGAAAAATTTTATTTCACTTTTCAGGTTTATTCGCATTCAGGGCGTCGAATAACATAGGGATAAAGAGGTTTGGTTCAATATGCAGAAACTTTTTTTTTGTAAACCTGTGTAATGGGATGTATTTTTCTCGAATTTTTAAATTAATAAAAAACCAACAAATTTGGTGCAACCCAACGCCAAGGACTCTGAATACGTCAAATCAAATGCCTTAATCGAACAAATTAAATTACCGCATTTCAGAGAAAGAAATTCTACATAATTGCAGTGGGGTCTTATTTTTATTGAAATTTATCAGATGTAAAATCAAATTTTTTTTCGAAATTTTTTCGATTTAAAATAAATTTTTTCCTTAACCTTCGAATTGACCCCTTAAAATTTGTTTAAAATTTTGAAATTTTGTGGATATATTTATTTGGTACGCAGAACACAACAAATAGGTGTCCCATACAAAACTTAGAATCTGCTATTTTTAAGGATCACTCTAATGTACAATACATTTTCGGCAAACATAAATTAAATCTAGTTACATAAATATAATTCTGGCACATATGAATGCATGCAGTGAGTGGGAACTGCTACCTAATTCAGTTGCAACTTTCTTGTTTCAATATTTTTGCATTTTGAAGTTCCATTTTTTTCCTTCCAGCGATGTGGAGAGACCTAAAGCTAAGTAAAATGGGTAAAGGAAAACAACGGTCATCCGCTGAGGCTGCAAACGTGTCCAGGGAGTGGAGAAATAGAGTTGGTGTGACAGAGTTTAATGGATAAAAGCGAGCCGGCGTCGGCGACATAGCTTGCAGTACAGCATGAGTGAATAGCGATTTAAAACCTGAAAGGATAACTAAGCACACAGCGTCAGCAATAGATGCGCAAGGCAGTGAATAGCAACAAATGTAGGAAAAGCAAAAAAGAACGAAATGGCCAGGATAACAAACCAGCCACTCCTGCTGCATAAATTTATTGGCATTGTATGCAGAGCAATCCATATGTGTTTTTGCTTGCTTCCGTTGAATATTGGTTTGCTGCAACAACAAAAGGAACA